TGTGTGTGTGTGTGTGTGTGTGTGTGTGTGTGTGTGTGTGTGTGTGTGTAGGTGTGTGTGTGTGTGTGTATAGCTGTATGTCTGTGTATAGCTGTGCATATAGCTACTTATGTTTATGACCATCTAATTTATAAGACTGAGCAGCCCATGTGAATATGATTCACCTCACATTTAGGAAAAACTGTTTGATTTGATCACATCTGGCCGCAGTCCCCTGCTCTCTTCTTTGATCCTTCTGTACTATGCATTAGTGAAATTTGGCATGACAAGCCTCAGGGGGCAATAAATTCTACTAAAGGTTTGACAAATCATCGCCTCTATCATTAAAGCTTCCCTTTCCACCAACCCCTTTCTTATATATGATATAGTCCACCACACGTGAGTGCTTCCCAATCTGTGCAGCGAACAAAGCACCGCCCATTGTCTTAACCCAGGTATTTGAAGCCAAAGATCTGTTAAGAAATGCATCACTTCTGCACATGCGCCCCCAAAATCTGCGAATAAAACTTGAATTTTAGGAAGTGCAATTCGAGATAGGATAGGGATGTTGTGATCAAGTAATAATTAAGTTGTTTGAACTTTAACAAAAGTTTGTTTGTTTCTAATCAAATTTGAAACACAACTAAAAGTTCATGGGAAATTTGTAAGGTTATATGTGGAGGATTTGAATAAAGGATTTGATCTCACTTAGACTCAATGGAGACCTGAACAGTGTTTTAATTACTCTTGTGTAAAAACACAGATTTACAAAACTTTACCTCTTTAGGATAAGGGGAAACTTTTGTAAAACTGTGCAGTTACTCGAATGTCTATAAAAAGCGGACTTTTACAAAAGAAAACTTATTATATAAGTGTAATTTACTCTTACACGTTAGCTGGTTATACCTCTCATCAGTGTTGCTATGCACATAGCCATTCCTGTAGATCCAGAAAAAAACAATGCTGCTATATTTCAGAATTGGATATCCAGATGTTTCAAAAAGAGGTATCTTTTTACCCCAGCCTTAAATCTGATTCTGTTTTTTATTTATTAAAGTGAATTAACCATAGGTAATGCTGTGCTTTTTTAAAACTGCTGTTTTAAATGACTGTTGTTCTTTTATCTTTTTTGTCAGGGGTTCCAAGGAAAGACTGGTCCACCAGGTCCGGGAGGTGTTGTTGGGCCCCAGGTAAGATAATTGTTATTTTTGTAAAGAATACAACGCATCAGCTGATTGCAGCTGATGTGTGTTTCAAATGAAGGGTATATTATATAAGCAGCTAAAAAAGAAAAATATATATAGTTGCTCTGTCTTAATATGAACAAGTCTCTTCAGAGATATTTTTAAAAATGTATTCAGCACACAACACCATAAGGTTTTTGTAAAGAATACAACACATCAGCTGAACGCATTCCCTTCGGACAAATGGTACTCAAAGTCTCTCAGTATGTAGATGCTAAAATCTTTTGTGTTTGAAATGAAGGGCATAGTATATAAGCAGCTAAACAAGAAAAAAATATATATAGTTGCTCTGTCTTAATTTGAGCAAGTTGCTTCAGAGATATTTTTAAAAATGTATTCAGCACACAACACCATAAGGTTTTTGTAAAGAATACAACACATCAGCTGAACGCATTCCCTTCGGACAAATGGTACTCAAAGTCTCTCAGTATGTAAATGCTAAAATCTTTTGTGTTTTAAATGAAGGGCATAGTATATAAGCAGCTAAACAAGAAAAAAATATATATAGTTGCTCTGTCTTAATTTGAGCAAGTTGCTTCAGAGATATTTTAAGAAATGTATTCAGCACACAACATCATAAGGTTTTAGATGCTTGGCAGAAAGTTCAGGTAAGGATGAGACATGCTTTAAAGACAAATATGCAATTGATGCAATATTTGACATCAACTGCACAGAGACTTATATGATGTTGAGTAATGTAATGAATGGCTAAATATGTTTAGTTTAATTGCACAGACAAAGAACGATGTGGGTATTTGCAAATTATTGTTGAAATGATTAATAACAATAATTATATGTGTGATGACATCTAAGGGACCCACTGGAGAAACTGGTCCTGTTGGAGAAAGAGGACACCCTGGACCTCCTGGCCCACCCGGAGAACAAGGTCTTCCTGGTGCTGCTGGCAAGGAGGGAGCCAAGGTATGAGTTCAGCATGCTATGCTAGAGTGGACTATGGGGAACAGTAGAAACATACCCAAAGAAATGGGCTCAGCAGCTTCTCTGCAATTCATTGGATTTTGACCCTATTCTGACTATCCAAAAACTGACTGCTCACATTGGCAAAATTTAATGTAATGGTTAGATTTAACAGTGTGTGCCCACTCAGTTCAGAGTTACTGTATGTTTCTTGAGGGCGTACAAAGTTCAATAGACTCATTGGATGATAAAATTACATCCTGAGAAAGCAAAAATCTATAACAACAAATTTACCCCAAAACACACCTCATCAATCGCCAGTCTCATTACTGCTTGTACCACACAAGGCTTTAGCAATTGACTGCCGTTTATACAGATACAGTAGCTGAGATTTAGGAAGTTTCTGATTTCATTCTCCCCCTGACCTTCACTTCCTGGCATTCGAGTCTCCATTAGGGGAAGACAACACCTATTTTGCACAGTAGATGTATAGCCAGCTGCAAACCAGCCAGATCAGATTCTCATGGTCATTCAGTAACCCATACAAACCCCATCTACTTTTTCCTCCCTGTTTTTCGAACACTAATAATACTTTCCTCCCACTCTATTTAAAGTTGTATTCAGTATGCCAAGGAGACTTTGTTGAGGTCTTGGCATTAGAGCCCAAATCCTCTTAATAACCCTCAGGCCCACTCTTTTGTGCTTGTCTGATTGCAGACAGTCAGTCAATCCAAAAGAAAACATTAAAAAGCCAGAGATAACTTTTTCTAAAGTCAGATGCTGTTGTTATTTAAATATAGCATACAAAAAAAACAGGGGATAAGTCAGGGTGCCCTGCTATTTAAGGTCGTACTCCTTTCTTGCAGGCAGAACACAATGGAAGCTATTTAAAGCACGTTGAGAGTTGTAGGTGAGGTACAAGAAAGCTTATCAGTGCTTTACTCAAAGCTTTACTCAAATTTGCCACACGCTTTCATATTTTAGCTGTTTACATGGAAATAGCGGTGCCCTGGCTTAGGCTTGTTTATTGACTGTGCAGTGATGGTGACGATGAGTCAATTGAGAAACCATGTCATATCAACTGATGTCTCATTTGGAGTCAGGTCCTTTTCTATTCCTGGTGGTACATGCAAGTCTTTGTCCAATTTTTTTCCTTTAGGAAAATAGAAGTGAACACATTTTTTTACGATTAATAGTACTTAAATGCCAAAACAAGTAAGCTACGCACACCGTCTTGACAAGATCATAATTTCACGGTGAGTATTACTAGTTCAGTTTTGAAGAGGAAGTTCACACCAAAATATAATCTAAGCCACTGTAAATTTATCACTTAACAAAACATAATGCCACAATAGAAGTTGTGTATGTAGATAACTCAATTCTAGATCAAAATATAAAACATTTTATTTAAATAGTCAAATAAACTGTCTTTCAGGCTTTCAGAGACGCTTTGTACAAAAGAGGATTTATTCAAATAGCTTTCAAGAGTCAAACAATTTTGTCTTGATGGCCAAGACAGAATAGATGGCCATGAATCAGCCATTCAGGCTTATCTTGTAAACTGACATAGAATGTGAATAATCACATGTCAATATGTAATAATGGTGTCATTATTTGTATACTTAAGTCCTGCCATCATTTGGGTTTGCTAGTGTGTTCAGTCAGTATCTTGTTATGAGGTGTATCCTTTATACATCATAGTAAGATGTTGCATCAGCTTAATCTTAATTTAGGTGCTAAACTACACTGTGTTCCTCATAATCACTGCAACATTTTGACCACAATACAGTGAACTTGTTTGATTGTGTTTGGATAAAGGGAGATCCTGGACCACAAGGATCGAGCGGTAAAGATGGTCCCCCAGGTCTTCGTGGTTTCCCTGGAGAGAGAGGTTTACCCGGGGCAACGGTAAGAATTGGATTCCACCTACAGATATCGTCCATTGTTTCGCTCTACATGGGTGTGCTGATGGAAAGCAATTGAAGATTGCTGCGTAACAAATGAACCATCCTGGATCTGGAGCTGCTCGCCTCATTAGAGACACCAGCCCTTAGAATCACTTGAAGAAATCAATCCGCTGCAGATTAAATTCAAAGTGACATCTTTTAAATGAACAGGCGTGCTTTTGAAATGCTCTCCCATCACTGACTCCACTGCCACGATGGATAATGGACCTGTATTATAGAATTTAGGATTCTTGTCAAGATTCATTTGCAAAGTCGTTCCCCAGGATAAGTAGGTGGCGAAGCAGTTTATTTGTTTTCTGTTTGCATTATTTACTAAGTAAATTATTAAGTGACAAATGTGAGCAATTAGACCGGAGTTGCCAGGAATGGATATAATGTAGGGAGACAAAGAGGTATGCTTCCTCCATTGTCAAGGTCAATCAGACGCAGCAGCACAACGGCATTTCTGATTGTTTTCTGCCATTGTGATTTAGCCCTGCACACAACCACAGCCTGCAGAAACTCATTACCAATGCTGCCCTGTGTTCTTCTGTGGCTCGCCAGAGAGCTTCTTACACTCACGCTGGACACAAAATGTGGACACATATGTCGTAGGGAAAAAAACTGATATTGAATATGGGGAAAGATTAGATGATTGATAGCTGCTTTATGTGTAGAAAGATAATCCCACCACTTGCCATCACCACATTTAAGAGCAGATTTTGTGAATGAAGTGCCTTCATATATATTTAGTCTGTTATTATTGAACGCACATTCCATATTTTTTGCCTCCGGTTCATGGTGCTCATGTACGTAAATCAAAATGTCAGTGGTATTTCTTTTAGTATTGCTTAGAGGGTCTATGCACTAAAAGTGGATTTATAAAAGGGTCTGGATTCACGAGCAAACGGGCAAACCGAGGCAGACTTCCGAGATTTGATTGGCATATAAAAATAGGGGTGCTGAATTCAGGGTTACAGACCATAGGTACTGGCTGCAGCAAAGGTTTGAAAGGTTTAACACCTCTGTCAGTGAAACACTCATGTTTTTTTTTCTTCTATTCTTCACCTCAGGGCCCAGCAGGACTGAAGGGTGGAGAGGGACCCCAGGGTCCACCTGGTCCAGTCGTGAGTTCTCTGCGTTTTGTTTTGTTTCTTCTCTGAGTTATCTATAATGACGACATTATGTGTCTTAGTGTGAGTGTTCTAGTTATTTCCTTGTGCTTTAAATCGAGTGTGGTTATCAGCTTGCTCTCCTTTAATTAAATTGCTCATGTCATGACCTCACCGCCCTATTTGTACCTGATTGAAGAACGGGAGCTGCTGAAATGCACTCTCCGTATTAACCAAATACGTGCATTCAGATTAATTAAGTCATCGTTGATATGTAGCTTGCGAACCATCTATGATTTTTCCAGAGAAAGCAGCAGCATATTCCACCCTATCATGCTGCACACAGTCGTTTACAATCTGATCATCCACTTGAGTAGCTGGGGATCAGGATTATTTGCTCCATTGCCTCCTGGTACACAAACAGATTCTCAAAGAAATAAATGAACACACAAACAGACACGCACAAACAAATGCACACACGCATACTTCAAAGCGACAGAGTCTGGAGGGATCCATACGTTGAGTCACACTATCACACATCCCCGATCTGGTACAGACACTGCATCCTGCCACTGTGCGCCTTTTTTTGTTATTCCATTCCTCTCAGACTGTCTTAAGACTTAAAAGCGCTTTTGTCTTTGATGTTTTTACTTTGCACCCACATCTAAAGCAAAGTCTTTCTCTGAAGCCTTTTCAGGAAAAACATGTCATGTCTTGTGAACACGCTTTAATGGGCATTTTGCCAGGGAAAGGCTGAGAGAACATACATAGGGTTACACAGTATCTTTACTGTGATCTCTTAATAATTGCCAAAAATACTTTCATGTACATTTGCACAAGTGGCAAACGATGCAGTGGCATCATCGTCTCACTCTTCACAGCCCTGGAAAATAAATAAATAAATAGCCTTGGATTGAAATTCCTTTCAATCCAGGTGTGAAAAGTCACAAAAGTAATGAGCCTGCAGTCGGATTAATGTTACATGTTTACATAGTGAGAACACCATGTTGAAATTGGGATCAAATCTTAGAAAAACAATTATACATAGTGTATTTTCACGTTTTCCATTTGCATTGATTTAATTTCCAATTAGTGTAGTTAAAGTCCTCACTGACAACAATACATCACAGCCTATGCAGAAGGGATTTGTCACAGCTGGGTTCTAGTTAATTGGTAGTTTTCTGGTTAGGTCATATCTTTTGGGGAACCCAAAGTTAGTTAGATAAAAGGTTTAATGAGTGCCATTCACCACCAAGTTTTATTAATTCTAGTGAACATTGAGTTCCTGTATCCTGTACGTGTACTGATAGACAACGGCCTTGTTTTGGTCAGAATGACACTTTGAGCAGCAACCAAGAGCTGCTTGGAGTTAACAGCAGCACCAAGACATAAACTCCCCAACAGCGGACAATGCTGGTTGAATTTTAAAGGAGCAGCAGTGCTTTATTAGCACTTAAAAGCGACCCGTTATTGTGTGCTGCTTCTGCGATTTTCCAACTTTTTGTTGTTAGTATGTGTGTTTGGATCCATTAACTTTGGGGCTCAGTTTTGCCTGTTCATGTCCTACTTGCAGATGTTGTTGTTCATTACACTACTGTTATATTTACAGTATGAAGACAGAAAATAGTGATTAAACAATAATACCTGACATTTTTTTTAAATTATTATTTTTTTTTTTATTTACGTGCTTCTCTTTTTAATGCTTTAAGGGTTCTCCTGGTGAGAGAGGTCCTGCTGGTCAAGGTGGTCCAGTTGGTCAGTCTGGTAGACCGGGTCCTCAGGGTCCCCCAGGGCCTGCTGGAGAGAAAGGTGCACCCGTGAGTATTTTTTTTCTCTTTTTCTAATCTTTCGTTTGAACTCAGATTTTAAATAAATGGCTAAATATTTCTTAATTCTTTTAGGGTGAGAAAGGCCCTCAAGGTCCTGCTGGCCGTGATGGTGTCCAGGGTCCTGTTGGTCTGCCTGGGCCTGCTGGACCCCAGGGCCCACCTGGTGAGGACGGTGATAAGGTCAGTGTATTTATGATGCTGAGGCACCAGCTGTAGCTGTTTCTCTAAATGAGACTGGAAGATCCATCAGTCTTCATATCCATGTACACTCTTTCAGCAGCTTCCAAGTTACGAAGAGGCACCAGGATAAGCTTTCAAGTATATGTTGCTGTTAAAATTGGCTATGTCGTGAACTAGAAAGTTAAAAATCAATATCTCAGCAACTGTAAATCTGTACAGATCCATTACAAGATTCTAATTGCTGATAATAACTTTACTAAAGCATGGTGTGGACATTTGAAAAAGATGCAAAGTTAATCAGATGTTGTAATTGTGTGTGCTTCTCTTTCCCAGGGAGAGGTTGGAGAGCCTGGTCAAAAAGGCAGTAAGGGTGACAAGGGAGAGCAGGTGGGTTATGGAAAGCACATCAAAATAATACATTTTTAATGGATTCCTACCTGAAAAACAGACCTGACACATGACACTTCTTAATAAGATTGAGCTTTGTTTGATCAAATTCCATGTGATCGATTTTTTTTTTTTTTTGTTTTATTCATTTTACTATGATGTGGTCTTAGGTTGATTGTAACATGTTTCCTGTTTCTTCAGGGTCCTCCTGGGCCAGCTGGCCTCCAAGGGCCCATAGGTGCCCCAGGTCCTGCTGTGAGTACCAGTGTCCTATATAATGAACCATGAGTCTCTGTGGCATCTCGAATTAGGCAGAAATACACGCATGATAGTATTTTCTGACAAGCAAAACTCTGAAGGCTCAAAAAACTATATTTTTTAACTTGTGGATTTTGCTGATGTTTTGCAAAGAATTGCACACATTTTGATCAGTGAACTGCATTGCCCCTGCTTTAAACACCTATCAAAGAGTACAACAAAATGATTATTATTGAAAACATTCAACTTCAACGGAAAATCATAACTGCAATTTTTGTATTGTTTCTCAGGGAGCTGATGGGGAGCCTGGGCCCAGAGGTCAGCAGGGTATGTTTGGACAGAAAGGAGATGAAGGTTCCCGAGGTTTCCCTGGACCTCCTGGTCCCATTGGTCTTCAGGTTCGTACCATGATATAGAATTCCAAAGTGTAAAAGCTGCTGGAAAATGTGTTTTTTACACTATTAAAAAAAAAAGAAATGTATTCAAGTGGCCATTGTGTAGAATATACACAATGATAGGTATTTTAGATATATTTAACTCTGTAGCTACTCAGAAAGGCCAAAGAGAAGGGATGCCTTTCTGCGGAAGGTTCCTTTGTAATTACTCAGCACCGACACAGGAATAGCAGCCAAATAAGTTCCCCATTAAGCTTTCACTTCTTTTTGAAGGCTTTGGTTATAACAATGGACAAGTTTTGCCTGCAGGTTATTTTTACTACTTTGCTCTGATGCAACTTTTTGTTCTTAGCTCTTTGGAGTGAATTTCAGTTATTACAAACTAGACTAAATTTCAGCATGTAACATGCATCAAAACAGGCATCCCAGTTATTTATCGTGCACCATAAAATAGACTGTACAGGCGTAACCCCCCCCCAAACCACTCTCACCTTGGTCACAATAGAGAAGGAGAAACTCTGTCATAATATATGTGATTACGCGGCTCATTCTCTGCTCTGCCATGTAGATATAAAAATTCATTATAGCTGAAATCATTAGCATTGGTCTGTTAACTATGCTACGCCAATGTCAGTCGTCAAACATTACAAATAATATCACCTGCTGGAAAGCAAGATGGGGTTCGCCTGCCAACATGCCCTTGTGAAGGAAAGTAAGAGGATACACAGATTTTTCAAAAGTACACAGAATAACGTCATAAAGAATCAAAATCAAATGAGAACCTGTCTCACCTCAGAGTAGCAACACTTTCTTCTTTCATCTTAGAATGGTAAAAAGGGTAAACACAAATGCACACATGGCTTTGTTTACGCTTTAATTGGATCCAGAGTAGTGAGCTGTCTCAGACCCCCCCCTTTGTTCTCAGGTGACATCCCTCTTTCATTAGTACCCTCACTGTCTCTGCGCTGCTGTCTAAGCAATCAATGCTCCATTTTTATTTTTGATTCACAACATTTTATGCAATAAGTTAATACTGAAGGTATAGAAAGGGTTACATAAAGTGTCTTAAGATTACATTTTCCAGGACCTTTCCACAGTAGGATTCCATTAATTTGTAATTATTTATCTTTTTTTTAGTCATTAGCTTCCTTAGCTTTACACTTTAGAAGTTAAGAACAGAGATTGGGGTCATTGTCGTAATGAAATTAAGCAGACTACGGCCCATTATTCCACTGAGATGTTCTATCTCTGCGGGATTGTATTCAATAGACTTTTAACTGGGAATAATTAACTTCCCATAGTGATTCCATCAATAGGATGGACTGTGTTCTTCATCAAATGCATTTACTTCCTGCCTATAGGTTACAGATGCACACACACTAGCAGCAAAAATTTAAGATAATAGAAGGTGAATATTTTTGTACACGATAGGATCAGAATGGGATCAGAATTATGACTTCAACTGTGAATGTATCCTAAAACATGTGGCAGTATCTCTAATAGTTTGCATTGTAAAAGTCACTCTTTTTAATTCAGTTGACCTATTTTTTACCTTGTTCTATATATTTGTATTAAATCTTTTACATAACAGATTTTTTAAACATGCATTCTGATTGTTAAACTTATTCATTCAAGGCTCACAAATGCATTTAACATTCAGTTTGTATCATTACAATGTATTCCAGCCGCACAATCAAATCTTAGATTAAATGCCATGCAGCTCCAGCTGGTGTAAATACTGCACAAACAAATTTAAATCATCAGGAGAGTGGTTGCTTATTCATGCAACTGCACCTTGTTGTTTTATTCTAATATGATTATATGCTTGTATGATATAATTGTTTATTTATGCAATCCACAGGGGCTTCCTGGACCTCCAGGTGAAAAGGGGGAAAATGGTGACGTTGGGCCCATGGTAAGTGACATTACGGCTTTTTGTAATTACATATGTGCTAAAGTAAAGTAATGAATCACTAATTCCTTTTTTGCAGGGTCCTCCTGGTCCCCCTGGTCCCAGAGGTCCTCAGGGTCCCAGTGGAGCTGATGTAAATATGGCTTATGATCATTAGTAAAAGATTTGAGTTGCATTTTAAATGATATGCTGTGACTTATTTTAAAACTCAAACCTTAGTCCTCCCTCCAGATCAGACAACTCTTCACTTTCTTAATGTCTCACTTCAGGGCCCACAAGGTCCTCCAGGTGGTGTGGGTCCCATGGGATCTGTTGGTGAGAAGGTAAGCCACAGCACCACTCATTGGGGTGTTATTTCAGCCCAATGTGTTAAAAGATGACATATAGTAGAACTGAAATGTTGCTGCCTCACATCTTCAACAACTTCCAGACTCTTCTTTTAGAGCTTTGACCCTATTGATTTCTGTTGAACGCTGGTCAACACACGTATTTTACTGCATAAAGAGTTTCATATAAAATGGAATAACATTTAACTCCATATATGACCAGTAAGGACCTATGTTTAAGTGTTGCATTTGAGTTTGGAAATGCTTCATGTCTCAGTTTGAAGGTTTATTTGTCCAGACGCTGACCTTTATCTAACCGCAGGGTGAGCAAGGAGAAGCTGGAAACCCAGGACCACCCGGAGAGGCAGGAACTGGGGTAAGAAAAATCAGATATTGTTGTGCGTTGAGATTGATAAATGTAGCAACATCTTTCTGCCTGCATTTCCTGATGCTTGTATTAGAATATTTTCCATGTCTTTGATTTTATGTGTTTTAAACATATCACAACCTTTAATTTGTTCAATTCAAAGATAAGTAAGGTTAATACAGTACATATCAACATTAGTGGATAGTTTCAGGGTAAGTAAAGAAAAATTGTATCATAATAAGATGTTTTTCAGTCAAAGTGACACTGTGTGTCCATCACAATGAAAGTAATGGCTCCTCACATTAAGGCTGGTAGCTCATCTCAGCATGGCACCTCTGCTTTGCACCACATGTCCACCTAGCCTGCCAAATTGAGTCTCTTCCCAGATTCTTAAAGCATAATTACCACAAGGACATGCCTGGTGCTTCTGTCCTAAAGAACAACATTTGCATTGAATACATTTGCATCACAAAACCCAACACTTATTTAGCTGCATACAACTTAAGCTATAATTTAGCCTTTGTGCATGGAACACTACATTGTAATTGGACCTAATAGTGTAAGTACTCTAGTTTTTTGTTTGTAATTTAGTGAATATCTGGCCTCATTTTAAAGATTTTCGACATTTCCTAATGTAATTTATTACATCCATATAATAGCCTGTGTTGCTGCCAAATCGACAATAATGATGTATTATTTATCTTTTCTTTTACCAAAGCCCCATCACTGATGGCTCTATTAGCTGTAATGCCTCATCTGTCAGATCGGATTGAGAGGATGGCCTATTTCCAATGTGATTTGCAGAGGAGAATGATTACCAGAGTTTATAATAATCCTGAATAGGTCCCCATTTGCTCTAGGCACTGATATTTAAAACTTGAATGTGCAGTGTTGGTCCCAATCATGTGGATCTTTGTTTTTGTCTTAATATGTTTCTACATTTCAATCACCTCCTTTCACTAAATAACTGCAATGAAATAATTGATCGTTTGCCAACCTGCAGGTCACATATCATTCAACATGATATGTACAATAGTAAGATATGATTGTGTTGTGCATAAAAGTATATAAAAAACAAAACTTTTCAACAGTGTTAGCCCCTAACCCCATCTCTAACCTTTGATGTCCCGTATTAAAAACACTTCATATATCTATCAGTTCTAACTATTTAGCTAAATAAGGTTATTAATACACCCTGTTCTTCGTTCCACCATTATTATAGGGACCTAAAGGTGAGAGAGGAGAGAAAGGTGAAGCTGGCCCACCTGGAGCTGCTGGACCTGCTGGCGCCAAAGGACCCCCTGGAGACGATGGTTCAAAGGGCAACCCGGTAAGTGTGACTAACATCTGTAAAATAGGATTTTTTTGTGCTTAAAGCAAATGTCTCACACAGCCTTAAGGTAGGTGATAATATCCCAGAGCATACTACTGAGCTAAAGAGGCTTTTTATTGAGGGAGATTATGCTTTATGCCTGCTTGGTGATGGGATGCAGAAAGGCCTTCCCTTGTGGATTTGCGACATCATCAAGCCAATCAAATCACCTTCACAGGTTGTAATCGGATACAGAGGATCGGATCACTGTTTAAATGATAAACTATGTCCTCAATACCTGCTTCCAGGGAGATTATGTCAATTCCCTGTGCCTTTCTTAATACTGATGGGTCTCATTTCTCTCTAATAAAGGGTCCCGTTGGATTCCCTGGAGACCATGGCCCCCCTGGAGAGCCAGGTGTTGCTGTAAGTATGAAACTTAATATACTCCTTGTTAGATCTGTACATTTACAGGTCATAGCATATGTTGGGTTTATTTACTGTTCAATTTGTCTAATCTACAATACACTATTTATCTATCAGGGAACTGATGGAGAACCTGGAGAGAAGGGAGAGGATGGTGAAGCTGGTCAACCAGTAAGTTGTAAACACTTTTCATAATTTGGACTGAAAAAATTACTTCATCTATATGTACGTATCATTTGAGAGGTATTTATTATGTAATGGGATCAAATGACAAAATCAGTCACTGGCTTTTATAGGTATGAATTAGAATTTTCTCATTACTGAATGTAGTTTACCCTCCTATGAAAGCCGTGATGAATATGTAATTTTCACAGTCGCATTCGAATGGATTTCATACTCTTGGGTGGTGGGTAAATTAGTTTATAAATTCTTTAGCTGGTTGGTTACAAACAAAAGCAAAATAGTGATTTGGATAGTGCAGCAAACTTATTTGATAAAAAAATACTAAGCACCTATTTTTACCCAAACTAACACAGATTCAAAAGTAACTTTAGAAATACAACGTTTCGGCCTGATTGGAAGGTGAATTAACAGCAGCAACAGTCCTGAAAGATTGCATGTCATGTCATACACTGCTAAAGTTTGATGTTTGTGAAGCTAATGTGAACATTCTTTTTTATTTGTTCTACATTTGTAATTGTGCAGTCATTTTGCAAATAACTTTAGTTACATTTTGGTACTTTTTTGTGATGATGGAAAATGGCCATTTCATTTGTATACTAGATTTTGTTTGAGTGTCTATCCCTCTTCATTTAAACACATTATAAGATGCTGTTATTGCAATTCGTGTGAAAGTATCCTGCATTTCTTGTTTTCAGGGACCCCCTGGTCCATCGGGAGAGGCTGGCCCACCAGGCCCACCGGGCAAGAGAGTAAGTCATAAGCCATTTGAGATGTTTCCCAAGCTTTTTAAAAACTTTTTGCAGCATTGATGTGTCACCATCAATAGGCATGGCCAGTCCAATAGTGTTTGATTGTGAGGTCGGTATCATGAAGAGGAGGACCCAAATGCAGCCTCTGATGATAACAGGAGGTGTTGTATGAACTAAACAAATTACATATTTAAAAAAGACAAAAAAAACAGCCAGCCTTAACACCTGAAGTTATTTATTTTTCTAATAAAAAATAATAGGAATCAACTAAAACTATTAACAAAAACATGACCATGATCATGAGTGTGGATGTGAACTGCTGGGGCCAAAAAATAAAAATAAAATGGGAATAAAATGGGAAGACACCAAGCGAAAATGTGGAGCTTAAATGCTGAGGAGGTGGCATCTTAGGATCATTTTGTAGGTTAAACCAGGAAATTGTAAGCAAACTAAGAGCATGGAATCAAAATAATTGTTTTCCTATGAAAAACAATTTAACCTCAATGAGAAAAAGACACAAAAATGCCAAGACTACAACAAAAACCCAAAACTGTAAAGTCCATAAAATCCATAACCTTTATATAGCTCCTTATTTGAGAGTCTAATAGTTGTTGGCATTTAAATATATTGGGAAAGTCAGTTGTTTAGATCAGAGAAATTAGTAAGTTCAGTGATGTCTGAAGTCTGCAGACATCTTTGTGCTGACTTTTCTGCCAGGGAGTAAGTATTGCCTCACCTTACCTCGCAGCAACTATTCTCACTCATCTTTGGCAGTAACTGTAGGTGAGATTCGTTTGCATTTACAGCAGAGGTAAAAGGCATTACGTTGTCTGTGAAGCAAAGCCTTTTCAAAGCTTGCAGAGAAATCAGGATGTGAAAATCATTTATTTATTTTTTTCCTTTTCTTTTGTATTAGTTGCAAAAAATTGAAAAGGCTTATAAGAGGGGAGAAAGAAAAGTTTTGGGTTCAGTTTATGTCCTTGTGGCCGTGAATAAAAAGATGTGCCATGACACATAAGTGATCCACGGCTGCTTTACTGACATCAGCAGTGAAACAAAACATACCATAGACAACGTGAAGTGTTGAGAGCTTGTTAGAGGATGAGAGCTTGCATTTTAAGGACTCTTTAAAAGAAATTAAAATCAATCAAATCTTGGATCCTGTGATGTGTTGATTGTGATGTGATTAACGTGTGTTTTTTTCTTTTTTTCCACTTATTTGACCCCAATGCTGTCTCAGATATCTATTTTCCAAGCAAAATTTTTCCACGTCAGCTTAGACTAAATTGAGTTTTCAGACTTTCCTCATGCAGACTAATACCCTAACCAGCACAGGGCACACCCACCATTACAATGTTTGCATAGCATTGAATATAAAGTCAGCATGGCAAAGTACCTTCACTTAAGTTTTGCAGAAAAACTTTCCATTGAATGCATACATCACAGATAGGACATGAAACTAAGACAGATCGGAGATTTTCACATCCCCAGTGTTGAAAGCACAATAAAGCAAGCAGGTATTCTGCTCAAATTTTCAATGGAAAAAAACAATCCCAAATGAGGTCTCGAATTTCAAACAAATGAACAAAGGCTATGTCAAACTTTTAAACCAGGGTGGATCACTTCGCCAATGGAAGCAGAGACATTGATATTCTGTGTATTAAGATGGTATAAGCAAATGGGGCGCATGGAAGGCGAAGGGATCATAATTAGGAAAATGCCTACTTTTCCAAACACAAACAGTTCTTAAATCCCATAGGACTAAAGGAAGACTTTACTCCACCTGAATGTGAAATTCAGGTTAACAGTCTGGCCCATCATCTGCTTTCTTTCCTCAAATCATTAAATCTGTCCCTGTGTTTTTGCCATTGATTGGCGATGGGCTGATTTTGCGTAATTACAACGTTAGTTTTCAAAATGTATAGTAATGATAACATAACATTTTTATTTTGTTTATTTTGTGATTTTACACTTCATGTGTGCTCTTCTTTAAATCTCAGGGTGGAGAAAAACTGAACTGTGTTATTTTCCCTATCTCGGTATCATTCTTTTTATTGAGGTGCAGGTCACTACTTAATTTTTCTCTTTTATCTCAGTCCTTGACAGCCATTTTGTCCTCTTAGGAATGGCAATACAGTAGAACCTTTACTTACAATTGCCTAAACATGCAAATTTTCTAACATCCAAAGTGAAATTCGTTCAAATATTCGAGTCGACAACCAAAGTAAATTTCCAACATACGTCCAACGTATGACGTCGAAGTCTTAGAAAAGATATATAACATATAAAAATTAAATAAAAGTAAATAAGCTAAGTTAGTTTTAAGTTCACGTATTGAAAGTTAGAGTATGTTACAGTACGTACTGTATCTCAGTCACCACCTCTGCCTCCACACCAACTGTTTCATCCGTCTCCTGCATCGCCAAGCTCCCCCCCTTGTCATTAAAAAATAACTTTTATTGATTACTTCTTTATAATTTATTTCTTTTTACATCCCTCTTATGTAATGCATTTGTTTTATAGCTATGTGTAATTGTCTGCAGTATTTAATAAGGTGTTATCGTAGGGTTTGGGGCTGTGGAACGAATTATAAGAATTACAGTGTATTCTTATGGGAATATTTCAACCAACATACAAATATTTTAAAATTCATATGTAGAGATTTTACTGTAATCTGCTTTTTAAACTATGACACTGCATAGACAAAAAATACATACTTTGTTAAAGAAAAAAGAAAAAAAAGCTTGGTAAGACAGGAACACCTATGTGCTGATTCGAGATGCTGTGTATTGCGGTGTTCTTTGTGATGATCAAGAGCCTGCCTCTTCACCACCAGTAAGGGGCACATATCAGGGGAAGATGAAAGCTCCAAAACCTGAGGAGAGCTCACATTATAGTCTCTCAGTCAATAGCACTCAGCCTGTAGTCGGCCTGATGAGAGTGGAATTTGGATGAAGGGTGGTTTGAAAATGGAGAGGTGGAGTTGAAAGAAATCCTTGTGAGCCTAAAGGAGTTTGACCGGACAGAAAAGACGACTCTCCAAAGGTTGTGTATGCGCACAATGTGAATATTGCATGTTGCATTTGTTTGAGTTGGCAGACTAAACAGGGTGACAGAAATATCCTCAACTGAAATAGCTCAGGTTTGTGATCATTAGATTACTTTCCCCGTTAAAATAAAGCTAACGGTATTTATCAACCAAGACAAATGTTCAATATGAAATCTAATAACGTTGAGCAGAAAGATTTGCAGAAAGGAAGAAGACCCCATTCTTTTTCTGGACACATACTTAAATACAGAATGTATTTCATTCGTTGAGGACTCATATTGTTGTGGCTGTCAGGATCATAAGCTTCTTCTTGTGCTGGTGTTATTTTGGAATGCTGAAACTGTGTCTTCTCACTCCTCAGGGACCTCCAGGCGCTGCTGGTGCAGAGGGCAGGCAAGGAGAGAAAGGCGCTAAGGTAACCAAGTCAATTCATGCATTGCATAGTAAAGGTAACTCAACTAGTCCCTGAAATAAAAGTAAAAATACATTAAAATCTGTTGTATGTATCCAGACTGTATGAGATTCACCAGTTATATCTGCAATGTTTTTGGAGAGAGAAAAAAACACTATAGTATATTTATTAGGCCCCCAGGTATTCAGTGTTTTTGTGTAGAAGTTTTTGTCTTTTTCCGCGGACCGACTGAACCTTATGTGAAATGTATGCATGTTTACTCAAAAGTGTACAAAGTTTAGCCCAACACTGAATTCTGCTTAAATACACAGAGGTGCTAACTGGCTGAAAATCTGCTTGAGTTAAGATGAAAAATCTTCACTATTCTGTGCAACAGCTTTACATTAATATTTAGGTTTAAGGGTGAAACTGTAGGAAGTACTGTAATTTGTGACTTCCGTTTCTTTTCTTACCTTGGTGTTATCAAATGTAAGCATCAAAATTCATAGTTTATAGTTGGTAAAAAACATCACCCCGATCTGTATGTCCACATACAGGGTGAAGCAGGTTCTGAGGGCCCAGCTGGCAAGACAGGACCTGTTGGACCACAAGGACCTCCAGGAAAGCCTGGTCCAGAAGGTCTACGTGGAATCCCTGGGCCTGTTGTAAGTTATCATCACAACATCTCTCTACCTATTAGAAAACAGAGAGACAGGCATAATCAAACTTAGAAACACACCCACAGTGCACTCGCATAAAAGTATGGCAAAGGCATGATGATAGCCTTCATTGAATAATCAATAATTTGGCTTATTCTTTAGTTTCACTTGTTTATTCCAGCCCACTTTTCTTCCCTGTTTGGGCTATTAATCACTGAGCTGTACACAAGAAATCAATAGTAGATCAGAGAAAATACAGCAGCCCATATTGCTCACTACATCTGAATGGCTTTTTACAGGGTGAACAAGGACTGCCTGGCTCCCCAGGGCAAGATGGTCCACCAGGTCCAATGGTTAGTATGTGTAAAATCTCCTGCCTTCCACTTTTGGCCGATTAACAGTGATCAAGAACTTTTTGGTCATGAGGTTACAGAAAAACTCTGAACTCCAGAACCTGAAGTCTCACTACTAAGTTTGCAGTAGTTTTTTTTTTTTTAAATGCCCGAAAATACTCTACAAAAAATTTAGAAATTGAATTATTTGTCATTGACCTCACTTTTTGCTTCTCATGTTTTTATCCTTATTTGCTATGTTGTGAAGCTTCTTTTACTTCCTCCCAACTTGTCTTTTTTGCAGTTTCTGAGACACTTTTTTAACTTCTGCTGTTGTTGTACAGGGTCCCCCTGGTCTTCCTGGCCTGAAAGGTGACCCTGGGTCTAAAGGTGAAAAGGTAAGTGTGACCAATTCTCTATAGTTTGATCATGAACTGGTTTAATTTCTGCAATCAGTGACAAGAACCACTGGGCATCAGTTTGTTTCAGGTTTAAGTCAGTCAACAATACTACACATTTTAGATTTACTGTCCATAGTATATTATGTATTTTTGTTCTCAAATACTCAGAGAGAAATCATCTTCTCATGATTGAAATATGGCTGAATGTGATATATTACTCCAATCTTTTAATTTTTCATCTTTTCTTTGCAACCTTTGGCAATATTCAGACAACACAACCATTACTTTGTCTAAATTGCCGCATGCAACCTGATATGATGGAATAAGGGAAAACGACTTTAATGAACACAAAAGAGGTGCTGTGTTTTCAATGCTGCTAAATCAGTGGGCCTGGCTTGTTGAAAGTCAACATCTTTGTGTTGTGAGTTAGCCTCTGTCACTTGGCAGAGGAGTTCTCTTGTGCATTTTTAATAACAAAAATAAATTCCCCATGTATATTTTCAGTAACGACAATTTACTGTACACCTTGCAGTCCTCATCAGTGTATTACTTTTGTCTAAAAAGAAAAGTAATGTTTCCCTTATCAGGCATGTATGTGCAGGGATGTTCATGCGTTTGGCCAGCTGTGTTTCATTTAAGTGCTCTGTGTGTCTGCATGTTTGTTTTCAACCTTCAGGGTCATCCAGGTTTGATTGGTCTGATAGGACCTCCTGGAGAGCAAGGAGAGAAAGGAGACCGAGGTTTGCCTGGACCCCAAGGCTCACCTGGTGGCAAGGGTGACAGTGTAAGTGATGGATGACTCCCTTTTCTTGCTCGTCCAAGAACATTTGGCCTTCATCTCTTACAATGTTTCTACTGTGGTAGCACGTCTTGCCACAATCATTGTTTGCAAAACCTAAATACACAGTGTTAGCTTTTAGCATTAGATTATACTTCTGAAATCACTTTGGACAGAGTTGTTGGAAAGGTATTCTATTTTCAACTATTTTACTCACTGGATGGGAGCATTTTTTAGAGTGGGTACAACTATTTCAATCAGTAGTTTAGCTTACTTTTTTAACACCTGCTAAATATTGTGGTGCTTCCTTTGATAATATTCTACAGCCTGTTGAAAACTAGGAGAAGTGTTTTTTGTCCAAGTCACAGAACTATTTTTTTCTTTTTTTTTGCATTGAGCCTCTATTCAAATAAGGGGCAGTAAAGAAAGACGTTAAAAGCTCTTATCTTGATTTTAAAAAACTATGGCAGCCTTCATCCATATTTAAATAAACATTTGAGAATATCTGAAAATGCTATTCAGCCTTTGCCTTCTTGGTGATTTAAAGTGACGCATTTGAAGGAATTTTACTCTAATAAAATGTTTCTGTCTGAACAAAAGGGCTAAAAGTTTTCATTTCGTTTGTTGTTTCTTGTAAAGATTTAAAAGGTTTGTAAATTGTTAAATTACAATCTTTTAAGGGGGTGATACTTGCATATTGTATACTTTTTACTCAAAATGTAACTTTGGTCTCAGTTAAATCTGTAATGAATGTTTATTTCACAGGGTATCAGTGGAGCAACTGGTCCCCTTGGTCCCCCAGGTCCCCCAGGTTTGCCTGTAAGTCAACTTATTCAGACTTCTGTTGATGATATACACTCAAAATAATAACATAATAACCTGCTAATTTGTATATTACAGGGTCCTCAAGGTCCCAAAGGAGCTAAGGGTTCCTCTGTAAGTAATACCAAAAGAAAATATCTGCCTGGCAAACAATAATTTTGCTTATTTCAAATCAGGTAACAGCTTTCTACTCGTGTTTCTCTCAGGGTCCTGCAGGTCAAAAGGGAGACACCGGTTCAATTGGTCCTCCCGGTCCTCCCGTAAGCAATTCAAACACCTACTTAATCTACTGTCTTCTATTGTTCATGTCTTGAGGGCGATTTTCTTTTGTTAAATTAGGGCCCACCGGGGGAGGTCATTCAGCCACTCCCCATTCAGTCACCCAAGAAGACCAGGCGTTCCAGTGACATACAGTCAGATGCAGCTAGCACCATCATGGATTATGGCGAGGGCATGGAGGACATCTTTGGATCACTCAATAACCTCAAACAGGACATTGAACGCATGAAATACCCCATGGGCACACAAAACAACCCAGCCAGAACATGCAAAGATCTACAACTCTGCCACCCAGAGTTCCCCGACGGTGAGATGGAAAATTAATTATTACATATTGTATGAATAAATGGTCCTTATAACAGAAGAGTTTAGACATAGTTTTCTATTTGTGACTCAGTATATCCAAGTATATCCAAATGTCTGACTGTTGGCACAGAATAAAGCTGAAATATTTGAGGGACAAAAAACAACAATGTACTTTCTTTTTGGCCTTTTTAAAATCTTTTTGTATCTCTAAGATTCTGTTTGCAAATGTATGGCAATTTATTGCAGGAGCACTGAAGAACCGACAAATTAACCTATAGGTAGATTTGTTATAATAATAACAATGATAATAATGTCTGCAGATTTATTGTCAGGAGAAGAAAAGTGTCCCCTGGTATAATTACAGCTTTTCACTCGACCATGTGTTGTAAATGAAAACGACCAGCAAATGACATCAATCAGAATGTCCCTGAAGTTGAGGAAATGCAGCTCACTTAAATTTGAAATAGAGCTTTACTGTGTGTATTAGTTGAACAGGATATGTGAGTATTTTTGGTTCTCCTCAGGCGAGTACTGGATTGATCCGAACCAAGGCTGCTCTGGGGATTCCTTCAAAGTCTTCTGTAACTTCACTGCTGGGGGTGAAACCTGCATCTATCCCGATAAGAAGTCCAATGGAGTAAGAGACTCTAAATTAACAACCATAAGTCATGAAAGTGCCCGTTTTTTCTCAAATTGTCTCATCAAGTTCTTAGTTATCATTATGGTTATCAGGTCACCCAAGGGATTTTGAACAGATTTTATAAACTGCTTCCAAGATGCAGAACTACAACATTTTGTGACACTTTAACTAAGAATTATATCTCAAAGAAAATGACCAAATAAATATTGTAAATAGAATATGATAGATTTAAATGTTACTCTTGAGGCTTTACACAACAGGTTCTTAAGGTTATCTACCTGATTTCCAATTTAATGCCCACAGTTAAAACACTCTCTCTCATCAACAGGTCAGAATATCCTCATGGCCCAAAGAGGTTCCAGGTTCATGGTTCAGTGAATTTAAGCGTGGTAAAATGGTACGTTTTTTTCCCCTTATTCCCCACCATAACAGCAGCTCTTTACGTCAGTTTTTTTCTCCCGCTTGTTTTTCTGGTACTTTAACTGGAACATCTCTGGAAAATGCCAGAAGGCTGCTAATACACTCAAGAGGCAGCATCGCCCATCATGTTGTGAGGTTATGACCTGAAGTTGCTCCAATGCATTAATGTGAAGCACACATTGTAAATTAGTCAGGGCCTTCATATTTGAAGGAAAACCAAAGCAAGGACAAGACAGTTTACGTTTAACTGCTTCTGTGCATGTGAAGCACTGGCAAAACATAACACATTACATTGTCGTCTGAGAGCTGTATTATATTTTAGATTTCTTTGTGCCCCACCTCTGTTCAATCTGCGGTCATTTTAGTATTAAACCAGCTATGTTTGTGGGTTAGAAACTAAGAGAGGACTTTTGTCCCCCTCCATCACACCCTGGTTTCCAGAGAGAAACTGTAGCAGAACATCATACGGCTTTCAGAGTTTAAAAGTTTCATAGGTGGCCGAGCAATGAACTGAGAGCTCACAAGTGCACATGCTCAGGCAAGGTTCACAAACGTTTTGAGTCTCAGGAAATCAAGTGTTGTCAGTGGTTTTGGGACACCCAAAGCAAGTTGACTTTTATTAAATTGATTCATTTCTACATTTCAGCAACAAACAAAAGATTTTTAAGTTTAAGTAGTTCTCAATTTTAAAACACACTATTGAAATGAACTGGCCCTGTGTACCTTAAAACTAAGTACTGAATTTGAATTACTTAATTTGTTGCAAGATAAAAATGTCAACTTTATTTGACTTTAATGAACTTACAGAATCCGACAACTGCAACGACATAAAGATATAGAAAAGTGGAGAATAATTAGACTAAAAAAGCTGAAAGGGTACAAAGCAACACAGTTAACAGAACATGATGCACTTGATTTGCCTGTTGGATCTATCATTTGCAGTTAATAATCTGTTGTAATACCTGTTTTTTTACCACCTCTAAAATGCTCTGTGGCTATGTATTACTAGACAGTTGCTTTGGTCAAATAAGTTATGAAACATGCTCATGAGAGGTGTCAGGTCTATAACTGAGCAGAAGGCTGCGGCGGATTGATGTGCAGAAATACAACAGCTTTAAAGATTCTATTTTGTAATAATTTTAACACAACCTAGTAAATTGCAATGTCCCTTCTAAAAGAAAGTGTCCTTTTTTTCAACAGTTTTCCTATGTGGACACAGATGGAAACTCAATAAACATGGTACAAATGACCTTCCTCAGACTACTGACAGCCTCAGCCAGGCAAAACTTCACCTACACTTGCCACCAGTCTGTGGCATGGCATGATGCCTCCAGCGACAGCTACGACAAGGCGCTACGCTTCTTGGGATCCAACGATGAGGAGATGTCTTATGACAATAACCCGTTCATTCAGGCCATCTCAGACAGCTGTGCGGTAAGAAACGAGCAAAAGTGCAGAATCTCTAAAGCCAGGGATGTTACTCGCTATGTCCCAATGTGATAGTAGAAACCGAGCGACTCGAATCACACCTCTCCGTTCTTGGCTATTGCTCATAAAGGTTATTTTGTGTGTTACTTAAACCTCTCCAGTAAGAGTTATCTATTCCCACTAAAAAGCAATGTTAGTCCTGAAATGATATCACAAGAAAAAAGGTTTATTTTTCTGTTCAACAATGTTTTTTTTCGTCTCATGTTTTAAAAAAAAAATTTAAATGTGTTTTCCTCTTCTTGCAGACGAGGAAGGGTTATGGAAAGACTGTGATGGAGATTAATACACCCAAAATTGATCAGGTTCCAATCATCGACGTCAAGTTGAGTGACTTTGGGGACCCTAACCAGAAGTTTGGCTTCGAAGTTGGACCTGTCTGCTTCCTGGGCTAAATGAAAAAAAGAAAAAGTAAAACGAAGGACTTGAAGGGGACAGCAAAGAAAGTCAATATAAGACATTCTGGGTAACACCAAACCCCATTTTTAGCCCCCCCACCCTTTTCTATGCCACATGCAAGTTTTGAATAAGAAATGGTGTAGCAAACATGTCTTTCCATGTATGTACGTGTAACCCAGGAAAATACTTGTTGCCCTTGTAGGGCTTGAACCACATGACTTAACCACGTTATGGAGCAATGGTGAAGGACATTGGAAAGCGTGGCAGAGGAGGGTGAATTGGAGGTAACCATGAGAGGGGGTCAGGCGACAGAAGGGGAAACAGATCTCCTCTCTTGATTCTCCTGGTGCTGTGTGAAAATGACTACAATGGTGCTTGATCAAAACACACAAAAGTATATAGGGGTGCTAAGAAAGACGGTTTATTTTGATAATTATAAAAAAAAACTGTAATTATTATTTTGTACAATTCTGTTATTTCCGAATCCACTTTCAAAACTTGCATGTGTATCACATCCTGCTTTTGGCTCTATATTTTCAAAGTTGGTTCAAATATATCAAATCTAAGTTAAAAACACCATGAAATCAAAGACATTTATCAAATTTAGTAATCTGTTTGTTTGTTTGTTTTTCAAACCCAGTCTCTTTACACGTCAAGAAGCAAAGAAAATTGAGCATTCAAACAATTCTCTATAGACTGTATGACCTATGTATATATTGACAGTCCAAAGCTTGAGGTTATTTGCTGTTTTACCTTTGCGACCATAGGTGAAACACCTGGAGGCATCACACCAGTACGTATATGGCAACATCTCCCACTAATGTTGTGATCCTGTGCTTGTAGGAGGCAATTATGACATCTATTTCCATTTATTTAATTCTATTTGTTGTTTTTTCTGTAACACTTTTTTGACAGGCTCTTTTTTTTTTGGTTGTATACCTCAAACTTTCTTGATAACCTTTAAGATGCAAGGATTCTATGCCCTGTATATACCTTGGTTAAGCAATTAAGTATATATATTGTGGGTGGGGATTTTTTTTAAAACAGAGAAATACGTTAACTGTTAGACATCCACTGTTCAATTCCTTCTGTGAATGCAATGAGAAGCCCTCGTGGTGACCCATTTTTGTAACTAAACTGAGGTGATAAAAATGTTTTAATGTGCTTTTTATAGTTCATTTAAATATTAAAACTGGATTCGAAACAACATCGAAACTGAATGTCTCAATGGTGATTTTGGGTGATTTTGGAGCAGATGAACCTTCTGTACATGTCAAATACTTTAAATCAAGGATATGTTACATCAGCTAAGATTCTGGACTGATGCAATTCCATATCTCTTGACACCAATAAAGTACAATCTCACAGTAATTTCATTTGATTCCGAGTATGGAAACCTCAATTAAATGTCTTTTTTCATTTTCCACCAGACGTAGAGAACAAAGAGCCCCCACATGATTAAAATAGTCTAGTTTTGACCCAAACCCATTTCTTTTCTGTCTTTCAAAATATCAGCTGCATTTCATGATATGTCTGATGAAAGTGTTTATGTTTCAAGTGCACAAACAAAACCACACAACAATTGGATTTGTGCTCACTCACTCGGAGTGAACTAAATCAAAGGATTTAATCTCAAGGTTCAATTGAGGAGCTTGAACTTCTGTGCAGTTTTTAAATTGGACATTTTTTTTTAACGTTTTAAAGTTTTTAAACATTGCCCTTGTGCACATTTGTGCAGATGCAGCAGACTTTTTTGCCAAGTAAAGCATGAAAAAGATCATTCCTAACTGGAAGTTTAAAGCATATATAATGTAAAACATGAAGCAGTCAACTTGGTTATGAAAGTTTAAGTTGTAGCTGACCAAATTTAACGACAGAATGAGCAACATTACCTTTAACAAAAGTTAAATGTAGGTGTTAACATAGGTAAGACACAGACCCTGGGCTTCTCAGTGTCTTCTATAGTTACAACTAATACCGTGTGCTCTCACATACAGCTGGTCTAGGGCATGTATTTAAGGGAAAAGGCATCCGTATATCATATTTCATCGGTGGTTTCATAAGGATGCATTGAGCTCTTCTGTGTGGGAGGCTTTATTCTTTGTTGGCCGTGACCAGTAGTTAGCTTAGGGTAAAATCAAAGTGAAATCATTGGCTGGCCCAAATTTGTCCTCAAGTAACGGGAATTCTGAAGATCATAAGTTACTAGTTACATAAAAGCTGCATGTAATGTGAATATTTTTGGTTGCTGTGTCCATCCAGAAAATGTAAAAAAATAAAAAATAGAAATAAAAAATAAAGCATTTACATTGTTTATACAGTTGGTTACCCAAATATAGAAAAACACTAAAAGAAAAAATTTCAACCTCTCAGATGTTGTTGTAGGAGGCCTTTGAGGCTGAAAATAAAGTGTTCTAAAAAAAATTATGTTTTAGTAAGTTTTTACAGAAATGTTGTAATATTGGGCCAAATGGGGGAGCAGAATTTCCTGTATTTGTACTCATTTTCTGAACACCAATACAGAACTACGGATTCATTTGCAGGATTTTGCTTTAATCCCAGAACAGTATAAAATGAAAAATAATCTCAGTCATGTTTTTATGAACTGTTTTTTTTATTTATTCCAGCAAACAATTACAATTACAATTACAATTATAGTCCCAAAAACAGTTCCTTTCCTATGAAAAACAGAGGCGAACATCGCACTTGCTGCAATGGGTATTCGTATACCCTTTACTGCAATGTCTGCAACGTCTTGTCTTGACCTTCATGGGGAAATGTCCAGTGAGGTCCTTGCGCACATCGAGTGGGGGGTGTGCACATGATTTCTTGGACAATTTGGACTCCCATCATCTGAGGATGGTCTCTTTCTAGCAGCCAAAGAAACTTCTTCTGGTACCACTGGCAGGCATTTCTCCCTGAATGATTCAAGCCATGGTCTGAGTTTCCAGAGTTTTTCCCTCTTTTCAATCTCTGACACTGTCAAAGTGTTCACAAAATGTAATTTTGTCAACAGAGATTGGAATCTGTTGCGTGGCATCACATCAGCAATAGAGGGGTGCCGTGTATCTGTACCATGCCCATCCTTAGGTACATGCCCAACATTTTCTGTATTTCCTTTGTGTTAGTGTTAACAGACCTTCCATCATTTTGAACGCTGTACTCATTTGTACTTGTAGCCAGAGCTTGAATCATGTCCTCTGACACAAACTTTTGGAAGTATTGGAGTGGTGTGTGGAGGAAGTTTACATCGTTTGGGACAGGTGGACCAGAAAAATCGGTTTTGGGACTGATAAAATCCTTTTTTTTCCACCGATATCTGTCTTGGGGCATGATGCGTTCATTTTCTTCGGGCTCACTGCCACATTGGCTGGGCAGTCAGAGGGCTCTTGGTTTTCTTTGTCCACAAAGGGATCATTGTCTGACTCCTCGTCACTCGCATCGTTGTCATCAAGGGGTACGTCCAGATCACTCTCTCCATCTTGGATAATTGCAATGATATCCTGCACACTGTACCGAAGATCTTTCCTTGCTGCTGGCATTCTGAAATGGAAAAGATAAAATTGAAACAAATGTATATGTGGGGTGGTGGTGGTGTGGTGTGGTGGTGAGCACTGTCGCCTCCAAGCAAGAAGGGTTCTGGGTTCGAATCCCGGGGGAACCAGGACCTTTCTGGGTGGAGTTTGCATGTTCTCCCTGTGTCTGCGTGGGTTCTCTCCGGGTTCTCCTGCTTCCTCCCAGAGTTCAAAAACCTGCATGTTAGGTTGATTGGAGATTGGGGAAATTGCCCTTAGGAGTGCATGTGAGTGTGAGTGGTTGTTTGTCCTTGTATGTCCTGTGTGTTGCCCTGCTATGGACTGGCAGACTGTCCAGGGTGTACCCTGCCTCTCGCCCGTTGACCACTGGGATAGGCTCCAGTTCCCCCCGCGACCCCATCAGGGAATAAGCGGTATTGATAATGGATGGATGGATGGATAACCTGCAGGAAAAGACGGGGTGGTGGAGAGATTGATTTTAATTTGATTTGAAGTGTTTACACATTGCACTGAAGTAACCTATTCACACATTTCACTGGTTACACAATACTGTGTGGCCGACCAATTCGAAACTCTGATTATCATCGAAATAGGAATGTAAGTAGCCT